GGGGGCAGTTGCTCCTCTGGGAGGAGGGGCTTTGAAGGTTAGGCAGGGACTCCTGGATGGTTCTCCTTGAAGAGGGTGGAGGAGAAGCTGTTCCTGACTCTATGGCTTATACTTACAGGTGGCCTTGCAGTTCCCTGACCAGCTATTGGGAGATGCTGGGGCCGTGGCTGCACGACTGGAGGGGACCACAGGGTCGAAGATGTTCATTTTGGGCGACACGGCCTATGGCAGGTATGAATTTGAGCTTGAGGGTTGGGGACAGGGGTAGGAGCTGGGGAGTAGGTCTAGGATCCAAGGCTCTTGGTGTTTCTCTTCTATGACAGTGTCTGCCCCCAGTGTCTTGTGTTTTTTTCTTGATGATGATGCCCCCTCTTATAGCTGCTCCCTGAATGACAGTGTCTTCATTTATAACATCGTTCACTTCACTGGCGACATTTCAGCCTTCACATTTCCCATGAAGGGCAGCAGCTGTTTTCCTGATGAGAACTCTTCTCACTAATGGTATCTCCCCTGCAGCTGCTGTGTGGATGTACTGGGTGCTGAGCAAGCTGGAGCTCAGGCCCTTGTACATTTTGGCCCTGCCTGCTTAAGCCCTCCAGCCCGCCCACTGCCTGTGGCCTTCGTCCTTGGTCAACGTTCTGTGCACTTGGAGCTCTGCGCCAAGGCCTTTGAGGCCCAGAACCCAGACTCCAAATCTCCTGTGGTGCTGCTAAGTGAGCCGGCCTGTGCCCACGCCTTGGGTGAGGGTTTTTGCTTGGGCATGCAAGAAGGGTGGGCCAGCTACTTTGTGCCTTGATAGTCACATTTCAGTATACTCCCACAGAGCTTTTGATACGGGCTTGATCCCAGTCTTTGCTTTTGGGTCACATTCAGTCTCCTGGGGATGATGGGGTTCCTCCTTTGGCAGACCCCAACTCTAACACCACCTCCTTCTTCCAGAGGCCTTGGCCACTCTCCTGCGCCCACGGTACCTGGACCTGCTTGTCTCCAGCCCAGCTCTTCCATTGCCAGTGGGCTCCTGTAGTCCAGAGCCTGAGCCCCTGGAGCGTTTTGGGCGCCGCTTCCCCCTGGCTCCAGGGAGGTGTCTGGAAGAATATGGTGCCTTCTATGTGGGGGGCTCTGCAGCCAGTGCTGACCTTGACCTTGACCCAGACCTGAGCCGGCTGCTCTTGGGCTGGGCACCAGGGCAGCCCTTCTTCACCTGCTGCCCAGATACAGGGCAGACTCAGGATGAAGGTGTCCGGGCTGGGCGGCTAAGGGCACGTAGACACTATCTGGTAGAGAGGGCCAAAGATGCCCGTGTGGTAGGGCTGTTGGCAGGGACACTGGGTGTGGCCCGACACCGTGAGGCACTGGCACACTTGCGGAACCTGGCTCAGGCTGCAGGCAAGCGTAGCTATGTGTTGGCCCTGGGGCGGCCCACGCCTCCCAAGCTCGCCAACTTCCCTGAGGTGGATGTCTTTGTGCTGTTGGCCTGCCCTCTTGGTGCTTTAGCTCCACAGCCTTCTGGTGGCTTCTTCCGGCCTGTGTTGGCACCATGTGAGCTGGAAGCTGCCTGCAACCCCGCCTGGCCACCTGCAGGCCTGGCTCCCCACCTCACACATTATGCAGATTTATTGCCTGGTGAGTGCTGAGGTACTGCCTGAGCTGGAAACACGGGGGGCAGGAATCGGGCCAGTATGGATCCTCTTTCTCCCTCCCAGGTTCTCCCTTCCACGTGCCCCTCCCACCACCTGACTCAGAACTGTGGGACACCCCAGATGTGTCGCTCATTACTGGGGAACTCCGACCCCCACCTGTGTGGAAGCCATCAGATGATCCTGGGTGTTTGGCCCTGACCTTGCGGCCCCAGCTAGAGCTGGCTGAGAGCAGCCCTGCAGGTAAGTGTGCCAAGTCTCTGCTCCCAGCTGAACTCTTTCCCCAGATTCCGCCCACTTGGCCTCAGTCTCCTCTCTCTACAGCCTTGTACCTTAGTTCTCGGAGCTGGCAAGGGCTGCAGCCCCGTCTGGGTCAGACACCGGTGACAGGAGCTGTGAGTGGAAGACGAGGGATTGCCATCGCCTACGAGGATGAGGGAAGCAGCTGATACCATCTGGCCCGAGACACAGATGGACTTAAGAATTGCTGCAAAGACCTTTAATGCTCCCTGCATCCGCCTCCTCTGCCAGAATCCTTGAAGGAGCCTGGATTCAGGGAAGGGTGGACAGCCCCTCACTGAGGAAGGGAATCCTGCTCTGTCCCTGTCCTGGCCCTGGCACAAGGCTTAGCATATAGTGGCTTGATAAATACCTGTTGGACTGATGGGACTGATTTGGAGCTTTCCTGAAGTCTTATGGGCCCATCTGTCCTCCTGGGAACAGCCCAGGACCTCTGGCCAGTCCCAGTTTCTGATGTGCAATTGAGGGTTTGCCCTCTAGGTAGTCTAGACCAGGGTTTCCTAACTTTGGTACCATTGACGTTTTGGACCAGATAATTCTTTGCTGTGGGAGGCTATTCTGTGCACTATAGTACGTTTAGCATTGTCTCTGGCTTATGCCCACTCACTCGATGCCACCAACATACCCAATTGTGATTTCCAAAAATGCCTCCAGACATTGACAGGTGTCTGCTATAGGGGCAAAACTGTCCCTAGTTGAGAACCACTGGTGTAGACCTGTGTTGTCCAACAAAGTAACCACTAGACACCCATGGCTGTTAAACGTGAATTTGAATTAGTTAAAATTAAAAATTTCTCAGGGTGCCTGGCTGGCTCAGCTGGAAAAGTGTGCAGCTCTTGATCATGAGTTCAACGTGGTGGGTCAACAGATGACTAAAAAAGTTAACCTTAAAAATAAAAAATAAAAATTCCATCTCTCAGACTAGTCACATTTCAGTGGTCATTTAGCCACATGAGAGGATAATGCAGCTATAGGACGTTTCCATTATTTCAGAAGGTTCTGTTGGACAATGCTGGTCTATACTGATTCCTATTTTGTTTCTCACAGGAGATCACAGAAACTTGAATAAACTGGATACTTTTTCTCCTTCTGTTTCTTTTTATTCATCAAACACTATAGGTCCTGAGTGGAGATCTGAATTGTATTTAACTGGATTCCTGTCCTCACAGTGTAGTTAGGAAGAGGGGCAGTTAAATAAGCAATTACAAGTAGGTGAAACTACTTTCAGTGAGGAGGGAAGGCCCTGGGAGCACTTTTTTTTTTTTCTTTAAGATTTTATTTATTCGACAGAAAGCACAATTAAGCAGAACGGCGGGCAGAGGGAGAGAGAGAAGCAGGCTCTCTCCTGAGCATGGAGCCCAATGTGGGACATAATCCCAGGAGCCCGGAATCATGACCTGAGTTGAAGGCAGCCACTTAACCAACTGAGTCACCCAGGCGCCCCATGGGGGCATTTCTTCATTACCAAGTTTGCAGACATTCTTGGCATACTGGCACTGTCCAAGGTGTTGAAGAAGCAGGTAAACGGAGATGTGGTCCCTCCTCTCAGGGAGTGCCCAGTCTACTGGTAGAGGCAGATCTGTAAACTGACTGTGGCAGAGGACAAAATGGGCACCAGTCATGTATTTTACAAATACATATGGAGCACGCACTGTGTGCCAGGCACTGAAAATACAGTAAGCTCAACAGAAACCCTTTCATGGTACTTACATTCTCATGGGGGGTGGAGGAAGAGAGATGGACAAAATACTTAGTATGGGAAATGGTGATAGGTACTATGGAGAACTTTAAAGCTGGGAAGAAGCATAAGGAATAGTGGATTGCAGTATTAAATGAGATGATTAGGGAAGGCCTTTTGAAGAAGGTAAGCAAAGACTGAAAGGAAGTTATGGAGTGAGCCATATGGATAAGTAGACGCAGAGGGATCAAATGCAAGGATGATGTAGTGGGGGTATGGCTGGTATGTTCAAAGAATAGCAAGGAGGCCAGTGCAGTTAATGGGGGAATATTAGATGAGATCAGGTAAGGGGCATGGGAAGCTGCACCAGGAGAGGCCTAGTAGTAGGCCATTACTAAGACTGTGGCTATTATTCTGAGTGAAATGGCATTTTATTACGTATTTTATTTATTCTAGAGAGAAAGCACAAGCAGGGGGAGATGGAGTAGCAGGCTCCCCTGCTGAGCAGGGAGCCCGATGCAGGGTTCTATCCCAGGACCCCAGGATCATGACCTGAGTCAAAGGCGGATGCTTAACTGACTAAGCCACCCAGGCACCCCTGAAATGGCATTTTAAACTAAAGAGTGACAAGTTTCATAGGGATCACCAGGACAGCAGGGGAGCCCAGAGCAGGCACATTGCCCTGCCTCTGGGTTAGGAAAGGCTTCCTAGAAGAGTGTTTTCTGGGGACCAGTAGGTGTTAGCTGGGCAACGAGATGAATACGAAGAAGCGTGCTTCAGGCAGAAAGGAGAATAAGCAAAGTTAGCAAGACACCCTCGCCGAACTGGGGAGCACAGCAAGGGAGGAGGCCCATGGAATCAGCACGGACTTGGAGGCCTGCGAGCAGGCTCTGGTGTAAAGCGGGGCCGGTGAGCCCAAGTGGAGCTGACTATAGGGGCTGAGGAAGAGCGGTTTGGAGAGAGACGAAAGTGACCCGCCGGAGGTCGAGGTACTGAGGAGAGCTGGATCCCTTTCCGAAGCGAGGGACTACAACAACCACAATTCTCAGCGCTTTGGCGTCGCCAAAGTTCTGGACGGACAACGGCGCAGGGTTGGGCGTGGGGTCACGTGGTGTCTGCGCGTCACGTGGGTGAGTCAGGTGACGCTGCGGGGCGGGCGGACAGACTGCGGGGCGCCCGGTGGACGCAGGGACGCGGGTTTAGCTGTGGCCCCACAGACCCGAGCCCCGCCGTCGTTGCCGCCATGACGGGGCTAGCGCTGCTCTACTCCGGGGTCTTCGTGGCCTTTTGGGCCTGCATGCTGGTCGTGGGTGAGGCCGGGCCCTGGCGGGCGGGGCCAGCATTTGGGCCCCGCTGGCGGGGCTGGAGCCCAGCGAGAGAAGTGGGGTCCCGGGAATGCTGGGCCCCAGCGTGGGGTCTGTGTCTGGGGCCCCAGGACTTGCCTCAAGGCTGTTGGGGCTTTTGACCCTGACAGAGGAGACCCGGATCTCTAGCCCCTTGAGGAGGGGCGCGGACGGGGGGAGGTGGGGGCTGCGAGAGCCGCTCCTACTTCTCTGTCACTACCGCCCCTCCCCCCATCTCACTGTTGCGACCCCTCGCTTGCTCCAGAGGGGCCTGCTTAGGTCATGAGCCGGCCGTTCCAGTTCCTCTTTTCCCGGTCGTTTGGCCCTCCGCCCCCACCCACAGCTTGTTGGGTAAACAGCGGCTCAGATCTGGCTGGTGGGATCCGGTGCGCTCTCCCTTTCTCCGGGGTATTCGGACCTACTGGTAGATGGCCGTGGAGGGTCTTGGTCTGGGAGGTGGTGTCACAGGGAGACGGTAGGTTACTGAGGGAGTGGCAGAAAATGGAGGCCTGAGCCGAGGAGTCTGAATAGATAGCCGTGCTTTCACATGGAGGCCAGCCTGACAAGTCTCCCTTGACTTAACTGTAGGCAGACCTTTGGGGACGTTACAGCTGGGCAACGACTTCTTATCTAAGTTGGGAAGTTTCTCTCCAGAGAACCGCCTCTAACCCTTTTTTCCTCACTCCTGCAGGAATTTGCTACACCATTTTTGATTTGGGTTTCCGCTTTGATGTGGCATGGTAAGGGACTGCAGGGAGAGGATTCCCCTAGGAGCTTCTTTGCCCCTTTCCTTCACTGATCTAAGCCCCTACTCCACCCCATCCTCAGATGCATGGGACATGGACCTTTGGGACATAAGATGTATTTTATCTCAGCGTTCAGGACTCTGGGCTTGGAGGGTTGGTATATGGATTTTGTGCTCACTTCTCCACCAAGGCTGAAACTGCTTTCCTCCCTGTTTCCACACCAGGTTCCTGACTGAAACTTCCCCATTCATGTGGTCAAACTTGGGCATTGGTCTAGCTATCTCCCTGTCTGTGGTTGGGGCAGCATGGTGAGTGTTGGGGTGGTGGGACTGGGGAGAGAGGTGAGTCATAGCAGGTGGTGTCAGTGGGTCCTTAGTCATCTTGGGGGCAGTGACAAGCTTGGGCTCTGCTCATCGTTTTTTTTAATCTTTCCACCAGGGGCATCTATATTACTGGCTCTTCTATCATTGGAGGAGGGGTGAAGGCCCCCAGGATCAAGACCAAGAATCTGGTCAGGTAAATGTAGGACCTTTGGAGGGTTGCCAGACCATCTGCATTGGGAGCTCCCTGTTTGTTTGACCTGACATGCCGCTTCTGACCAGCCTCCTGATGGGGTGGGAAATCAGTAGGGGAAATGGTGGCTGGGGACTCTCTGGGGGAGGAAGATTTGTTTCTTTCTCATCTTTTTCTCCTCTCCACCCCCATGCCCACCACTACCAGCATCATCTTCTGTGAGGCTGTGGCCATTTATGGCATCATCATGGCAATTGTGATCAGCAACATGGCTGAGGTACGGAGAACCACGGTGGGGTGGGCATCTATTCCAGTGTGTTCTACACAGTGATTAATGATACTGGAGGAGGAAGAGTGGCTTCTGATTACTTCTCTGCCTCCTGCAGCCTTTCAGTGCCACTGACCCCCAGGCCATTGGGCATCGAAACTACCATGCAGGTAGGTGGATATGTGAAGGAAAAAAGCTGGGGCTTTATGTCTGCTTCCCCACTTCTGTGCCCCAGCTTAGACCCATCATTTCAACATTCACTCCATTTGTTTGGCCTGCTTTGCAGAGTTCGGAGTGGTGACTAGCCCCATGAGTCCATGTTGGGGCCTTGTCTTCCTCTCCCTTTGTGCCTGGCTTGGCCTCAATACACTTCCTTCCATACCCTCAGGCTACTCCATGTTTGGAGCTGGCCTCACAGTGGGCCTCTCTAACCTCTTCTGTGGAGTCTGCGTGGGCATCGTGGGCAGTGGAGCTGCCCTGGCTGATGCACAGAACCCCAGCCTCTTTGTGAAGATTCTCATCGTGGAGATCTTTGGCAGTGCCATTGGCCTCTTTGGTGTCATTGTTGCAATCCTTCAGGTGATGAATCCCCTGGGGAGCCTGTGTCCTTGTCCCCAACCCAGCTTCACTCTCTTTCCATCTATAACCATAGAATTCCTGAGCATTTCCCGCCACTTAATTCCCATTTTTCGGTTTTCCCCTTTTGGAGCTTTCCAGCGTGGTATCGTTGACTAGTGTAATGTGTATTTCCCTGCTGCTTTGTGTCTATAGGTCTTTCTTTGGGGCTTTCTGTTGTATTATTTTTTGGTCTTTATTTGTAGTCTAGCCTGGATTGGGATCTTGTCTGTCAGTCTGTCTTGGTGTGTTTGACTTTGTGTCTCAAGGCCTGTGTGTATCTATTCTGTGAGTAGAACAGTATGTCTGAATTGTGTGCATCTTTTCTAACAATGTGCGCGTGTGGCTGAGGATCAGCCTGGTGGTCTGAATGGGAATGCTTAGCTGGGTTGACTCTTGGTAATGGGTCCTGTTCATGTGCCACTCCTCTATCTCTCTATCCCACAGCCTAACTCTGTGGTTGACTGACTGTCCCTGTTCATCGGTGTTTGTCACAGCATGTCCATCTTGGTCCCATCATCCATCTGTTGTGGTCTGTCCATCCCACCATGGGTTTGCTAGAGCTAACCTTATGTTATTTGTTATTACTGTCTTACTTATTCCTCTGTCACTGCCTAATTTCTCCCTGTTCTTCTTTTGCAGACCTCCAGAGTGAAGATGGGTGACTAGATGATCTGTTTGGGTGGGACCGTGTCCCACTCTTATTTATTTGTGGTTTTCCCAGGACAGCTGGAGCTGTCACCCTTGGCCTTTCAAGGGGGCTTGGTGTTCAGGGCCCTCCCTGCACTTGGCTTCTCGCTGCCCATCAACTTGGAGTCACTACCTGGCTGGAGCCTCAGTGTGGGGAGTAGGTCGCTGATGACCGTGTGCAGCTGTGCACCTATGTTCCGCCTCTACCCCCAACCCATCTTCCCAGTGTTTGTGAAATAAACGTGGTTTTTGTCTGGGTCAGTGTTGCTTCTGTTGCCCTCCTTTGTTACATTCTTTCATGGAGAGAGGGTAAACCGACCTATAGGCCTCAACATTATGCCAGCTTCTTGGCACCTGTCTCATATACAGTCTCTGCTTTGGACAGAGCTGGTTCCTGGGTGGAAAGGAAGGATGCTGGGCTGAGGACTCTAGCCTTGAATATCTTTATTGAAAGGAGCAAGGGACGCTGGGGATGAATGGACCCAGGTGTTTGTGCAGAGGAGGGGGCTATCCTCCCAGTCCCAGGTCTTCAAGGTTCTGTCTGCTAAGCCCATATGGGCCACATCTATCTGGCTCTACCCTCAGGCATCCCTCACTGTCTATCCCTGTGGGGCTTGGAGCCCATTCATTTGCCTCTGCATATCCCAGTGCCATCCCCTGCCAATAACTAATTTGAGCCCTTGTTCCTAGGGCCCCAGCTCCTCCCTTTTCTGTGCAATCTTGTACCAACATCCTGTCACCCTAGAAGCCCCTGCCACACACTTCTCAGGCCTTTAAGGGTCCTGCCCAACCAGCAACCACCCCCACCCCCACCCCGCGACCGCTGGCAAACCTATAACCCTGTTCCCATCAGTGAGAGGACAAATCCCTAACCTCCCTGCTAGAGTCGCCTAACTTCCAAGCCCACTTTTGGCAGAGTTCACGCTCCAGCCCACACCCACACCCTCCCCAGGCCGGACCCCGAATCCGACCTCTGGGATGAGCCTTACCGATTTCTTCCGCCCCTCTCTGGTCCCGTGCCACCTCTGTCCCCTCGCTCCGCCGCGCTTGGCCGCCGGCAGGGGCGGACGGCAGAGGCGCGCGGCGGGTGCGGGCGCGCTGGAGGCGGGGGCCGCGGGGGCGCGCGCGCGGGCGCGCCGGCCGGGCCTGCCCCTCCGAGGCGCCGTAGCGCGGGAGGGAGGCGGCGGCGCTGTGGTCCATCGGTCCGCCGGTCCGTGGGTCTGCTCGGCCGCCCGGCCCCGCCCTGCCCCCCGGGGCGGCTCGGCTCCATGGCCCGCGGCGGCGGCGGGAGGCGGCCCGGGGGCCGCGGGGGCCGCTGACCGGGCAGCGGGAGGCGGCGGGGCCGGGCCATGGGGGACGGAGCCGTCCGCAGCCACGGGAGCCGGGAACCCAGCCCGAGCTGGAGCGGTGCCCCCTGCTGAGCCCCGAGCGCCGGGTGAGAGGGGTGCGCGCGCGGCCCCCAGCCCAGGGCCCCGACATTCCAGACCCAACCCCGCGAGGAGCGCCCCGAGCGCGGCCCCGCGATCCCCGCCCAGGAGCCGGTGAGAGGCGCCGGCGGCCAGACCCCGGCCTGGCGTTTCGCCATCCCTCCCCCATCCCTCCCCCTCGGCTCTTCCCTCCTCTCCCCACCCCCCGCCCGGAGCTCCTCTTGCCCGCCCCCTGCCAGCCTCCCTTATTGTCCTCGCTCGCCCTGGCCTCGTGGCGCGGGGAGACGCTCCACTCACGTTTCCCCCGGCCTCGGCCCCCGCCCCACATCCCCCCCCCCAATCCACGCCCCCCCCCCCGACTTCACACCCACCGGGTCCTCACTGCCTCCCCCGCCCCGGGGAGCCACGTGTTCAGGCCGGTCTACCTTTCAGCCCCGCCCTAAGGCACCTCGCAGCCTGGCCGCCAGCCTGACCCAGAACCCCTGCCACGGAGGGAGGGGCGGGAATGTTTGCACGTGGGGCCGGGCGTCCGAGCTGCCCGGGAGCCTGCATGCATGGCTGTGTACGTCGAGGAGCAGCGGCTTTGTTTGTGAGTGTGTGACTCTGTGTTACTGTTACTGTTACTGTTACTGTTACTGTCACTGGGGTGTGTCTGTGACTCCATGTAGTTCTCAGTGTGTGTGAGTGCAGGTGACTTTAGCTGGGACCCACGGTGGCTGTGGTTGTGTGGTGCTGTGTATCTCTGAGTGAGACCAGCCCCCAGAAGTGCTGCTCTGTTGGAATCCCAGCTGGAGCCATAGCCCAAGACCCTTCCCTGGCATGCTGGTACTGGACCCGTCTCCAGGGCCTAGGCGTTCCTTCTTCCCAGAATCAGAACCAGCAAGTGCTGGGCAGACTCCAGAAAGTTCATCCCAATCCTTGAGGTCTTAAAGGAGGGGTGTCGTATGCCCCACCTTGTATTTTGAGCTCCCACTCCGGAGGGCAGGGATCCCATAAACATCTTGTTCATATTTGGGCCTCCTGGATGCTGAGGGCCACTTCCCAGCCTGGTCCTAGTTGGCCTGGCCTACTTGTCACTGGTACCTGTCCAACCACACCACTGCCCACCATGGTCCTGGGAGGACAAACTGAAGTCACGAGTACCAAGGGTTCCTGCATGCTAGGTACTCAGTAAATGGTCGCGCCTCCCCAGACCAGGAGCTCTGAGTTGGGATGCTGGCCTGTGGGGTGTCTGTTCTCTGGGGCACAGGTACACATGTGGGTCTGCAAGTAAATGTGTTTTCATTGGGAGGTATGAACCACCGTGGTCAGAGGTCATGTGTTCATGTTTCTGAGGACACACAGGGTTGTGTGTCGAGTCACGCAATAAGGGCGTGCACCTGAGTGTGGGAGCATGAGGTTGTGTTTCTGTGTATGTGTGGCAGTGAGAATGAGGAACATGTGTGTCTGTGGGTTTGTACTCAGATGTGTGAGGCTGTGTGAGTAGTGAGTTGCCAGGGACTGTGTCCGTGTGAATGGGAGTCCGCGAGTGTCACAGGATGTGAGCAGGTAATAAGTGTAAGGATGCGGTTCTGTGAGGGTGAGCAGCAGGCAGGGGCGGGGGCTGGGTAGCCTGGCTCATCGGGCCCTGACCTGCTGGGTCTGTTTCTCTCTTCCCCCTGCTCAGGCCGGCAGCCGGATGCCCGGGCCCACTGGGCGGGCCGGCGGCCGCCTGCGGGATGAGCAGACTGCTGGGGGGGACGCTGGAGCGCGTGTGCAAGGCCGTGCTCCTCCTCTGCCTGCTGCACTTTCTTGTGGCCGTCATCCTCTACTTTGACGTCTACGCCCAGCACCTGGCCTTCTTCAGCCGCTTCAGTGCCCGCGGCCCTGCCCGGGCCCTCCACCCAGCTGCCAGCAGCAGCACCAACTTCTCTCGGCCCAACGCCACCGCCCCCAGCTCGGGGCTCCCCGAGGCTCCCAGCGCCCGGCCCGGCCCCACGGCTCCTGTCCTGCCTCCCTGTCCTGACTCGCCGCCAGGCCTTGGTGAGCCTGCAGGGTAGGGCCAGCCTCTAGGGGTGGGCAGAAGACCGGTGTGGTTTGGTTCAGGGAGTGACCCATGGGTGTCCAGGGGGTCCGGGTCTGTTGCAAGAGGGCCATTCCGGGGCTTCCCTGGCCTCCCCCTGGGGCTGAGCAAGAGGGCCAGCGTCCCTGGCCTCGGACGGCCAGCTGATTCCTGCCACCGTCCTGCCTGCAGTGGGCCGACTGCTGATTGAGTTCACCTCGCCCATGCCGCTGGAGCGGGTGCAGAGGGAGAACCCGGGCGTGCTCCTGGGCGGCCGCTACGCGCCCCCTGACTGCACGCCGGCCCAGACGGTGGCAGTCATCATCCCCTTCCGGCACCGAGAGCACCACCTGCGCTACTGGCTCCACTACCTGCACCCCATCCTGAGGCGACAGCGGCTGCGCTATGGCGTCTACGTCATCAACCAGGTGTGCTGCCTGGGGCCCCGGGGCTGGGCACCGTGAGCACCTGCGGCTGGGGAGACCGTGTGCCTCTCAGTGAGTGAGTGCGGGCAGGAGCATTCATGGCTTCTCGCCTGCCTGTGGTCGTGTGGGGCTCTGTGTACGTGCCTGTTCACGTGGGAGGGTTTGCAGGTGCGTGATGGGGAGTGTGCACGCAAGCATTGGCACACACGCTGATGGCCATGTGCGTAGCCTCAGCGCAGATGAGCCCCATGGTCTACCCTTGGCGGGCCCCGTGTAGACCCTAGGGTCAGCTGGCTGTGAGGGGCTATGGAGAAGTCTTTGGAGAGGGGCGGGTTAGAGCCTGAAAGAGGGATGAAGTCTGTGTGAGGGCCACAGCCACAGCAGAGGCCCCGGGAACTCAGCTCAGGGTCCAAGCCTTGCCCTGGGCCTGGTGAGGCCTGGCTGCTGGGACCTGGGGAGGATCTGATATAGGTCCTCCTTCCAGTACTTGGGACTCCCATACTTGGACTTGGATCCCCATAGACTCCAAGACTGTGTGGGATGAGTTGGAGCAGGGGGCTGTGGGGGCACAGATGGGCCTTGAACAGTAGCCCTGGGGTGAAGTGGTGGTTGAGATGGGGCTTGAGGGATGAGTAGGGATCAGTCTGCAGACGGACTGGAGGTCCCAGGTCCCACCCAGAGAGCTGGTCTCGTGTCTTCGGGAACCACTGGCGGAGGTGTGGGGTCCAGCATGGAGGGTGGGTAGCAAAGATGAGCCTGGAGTTGCTGGCACAGGCCAAATCCAGAAAGGTCTCTGGAGGCAAGCGAAGCAGTTGACTTCCAGCCTAAAGGCGGTGTGCCACCACTGGATTAAGCAAGGAGTAGCATGTACGCTTGCTTCCTGGGAAGGTCGCTCTGGTTGCATGTGGGGAATGGGACGGAGGGGGAAGCTGGTGGCAGGGTGACCAGTTGAGAAGGGGTATGACATTCAGCAAAGAGACAGTGAATCTGTGTGTGGGTCAGCAGCAGTGGTGGCCGTGAAGGGAGAGATGTGACATGGTAGAGAGTAAGGAAAGGGAGACACCAGGACACCTGGAGGGTTCTTCCTGGCCATTTGCTGTATGGTTAGCTGCGCCTGTGAGTGAGACGGAACAGAGGAGCTGGGCCAGGTCTCAGGGAGAGCCTGACCCTGAATTCTTTTTTTGCATGGGATGAGTCTGGGTGCCCACGCGAAGTACAAAAGGAATGTTCAGCTGGCAGTTGGAGCAATGAGTCCTCCCAGCGGTGAGGTCTGAGGTGCAGAGCGGGATCTGGGAGCCACCAGCATGCAGATGGTCCCTAAACCCAACAGCGTCCATCCTGCCTGGGGAGCTCAGGGCCTGAGAGAGGAAAGCCAGCATGTAAGGGATGGGTGGAGAAAGGGGCAGCGCCGCAGACGGGAAGGTTGGGCAGAAGAGGTTCGAGGAGTCCCAGGAGAGTGTGGTGTCCCAGAAGCCCAGGAGTAAGTGTCCAGAAGGAAGCATGGCAGCTACGTGAGCACTGCTGGGGGAGGAAGGATATGGACTAAGCAGCGTCCAGTGGATTTAGCAACAAGGTGGGCCCAGCGAGAACCATTTCAGGGGCATGGTGGGGGCGGAAGCAGATTGCAGTGGGTTGAAGAAGGAATCAGATTTGACAAAATGGAAATAGCCAATTGGAGGCAACTCTTTAAAAAAAAAAAAACAAAAAAAAAACAAAAGAACACTCTGCCGAGAAGGAGAGGCAAAGGTAGGGTGGTGGCTGGAGAGGTTTCTTTTTGAGATGGGGTAAAATTGGACATGTTTATGAGCCGCGTGGGAGAAACTCAGGGCTCCTGGCTGGTGAGAAAGGTCAGAAAGGAGAGCCGATGAGCCAGGAGAAAATGCACAATTGCTGCAAGGGCTGGTGGGAGGGAAGGTGCAGGGCCAGGAGAGAGAGAAAAAGCAGGGTGAGCCTCTCCCACCCTGTGGGGCTCAGGCTGGCTGGTGGGAAGGAGGGGCCATGATTCCTCCTCTCGCTCTCAAGGGGCCCGCCTAAAGACTCCTCTCCAGGGCCATGCCCAGCTCCAGCCTAGAGATGGTAGGTTGGCACAGGGGGCTCAGCAGTCAGCTCCTTCCATGGGATCCTCCTTGCTCTGGTTAGAATTGGGAGCCTGGGCTTGCATGGCCAGGAACCCCGCCTCAAAGAGGTTGCTCAGGGGACGCCCCGGCTCTCTGGGCCATGACTGCCTGTACACCTGTGCTTGGCATTTTGCGGGGGGAGACTGGGGAATCTCGCCAGGTCCTGTCCTGGTCTCAGAGGCTGCCCGGGGGGTTTGGATGCGGATCCAGACGAGCCAAAGGGGCCGGTTTCTTTGGTTTTTCTTTGTCTTCGACGCTGGTCATTTGGGGCATTCACTGTTCATCTTCTCTTGTGAGTGTGCTCATCAGGGATGCAGTGGGCTCCGGGCTGCTCTCCTCGAAGGCTCCCACCGGCCCCGGGAAGATGCCGGGCACCCAGGACAGGGCTACAGGGCATGCTGGGATGAAGGGGGGAGAGAATGAAAGGAATGAGCACGCTAAGTCACAGTGTAACCGGACACTCGGTGAAGCTCACAGGACAGCACGAACGAACGTCACAGAGGCAGGGAGGTGTGACCAGGGCTGCCTGTCCACACACCAGCCTGACCGGCAGAGGAGAGTGTTCCAGAGCTAACAGCAAGGTCTCGAGGCAGTAAAGAGCCTGGAGTGTTCCAGGGCTGCTGAGGAACGTATCGCAGCTGGGCCTTGGGTTCTGAGGGCAACGGCTAGAGGGGAGCCTGGAGCCAAGTCCTGGAAGGTCTTGGAAGGCAGGACTTGGGGGAGCTATTCAGAGTGGGGTCAGGGGGAGGCAGGGAAGTAGGAGCCCCTTGGGGAGTGCTCTGGCCAGTGGTAAAGTGGCCGGTGCCTGCCGGTCACAGGCCTAGAGCTGACCTGTCCCCTGCACCAACCCCAGCACGGCGAGGACACCTTCAACCGGGCCAAGCTGCTCAACGTAGGTTTCCTGGAGGCGCTGAAAGAGGATGCCACCTATGACTGCTTCATCTTCAGCGACGTGGACCTGGTCCCCATGGATGACCGCAACCTGTACCGCTGTGGTGACCAGCCCCGCCACTTTGCCATTGCCATGGACAAGTTTGGTTTCCGGTGAGGGCTCCCTTCTCAGCCAGACCCAGACTCCTGCCCTGACGGTCGGTACTGCACCCAGCGCCCCCTTGCTCCCAGCTCCTCACCCCGTCTCCGGCCTTCCCCCTGGAATCCCCTCAGGCCCATGGCTGACACCTGCCCCTCCGTGCCGCAGGCTGCCCTATGCCGGCTACTTCGGAGGTGTATCAGGCCTGAGTAAAGCCCAGTTTCTGAGAATCAACGGCTTCCCCAACGAGTACTGGGGCTGGGGTGGCGAGGATGACGACATCTTCAACCGGTGAGTCTGGGTGGGGCGGGGAGTAGACTGGGTGCAGCAGGTGCAGCGCAGACTGGGCGAGGCTCCTTGCCCTTCCTGGTGCCTGCTCCAGCCCATCTGTCCCCATCCCCAGGATCTCCCTGACTGGGATGAAGATCTCGCGCCCAGACATCCGCATAGGCCGCTACCGCATGATCAAGCACGACCGGGACAAGCATAACGAGCCCAACCCGCAGAGGTGACCCCAAGTGCCCCTAATCCCTTACTTCCTAGAAGGGACTTCCCAGTGCCACTGATCCCCAGACGTGATTCCCAAGGCCTCTGACCCCTTGACTCCTGGAGAGGACTCCCATGCCCCTGATCCCTGTTCCCCAACCCCTAGCTCACCCTCACCCCAGACTTCTGTCATCCCTGGCCTAATTCCTAGAGGTCACAACAATGTAAAGGCAGGGTTCAAATCTTCCCCTGAGTAGATTACATTCCCATTGGTGTCCTCACAGACCTCCCTTATGCCAGAGCAGACAAGACAAGAGGTAGCGGGCACCGGGCACAGCTCCTGGGCCTAGGGACCCAACGAAGGTGGCCCGAGCAATGTGGGGCAGGGCGCGGACAGACAGTGCTGACCCCTCTGAGACGGGAGCAGGCCGTTCCGTCCCTGAGGACGTAGTGACATTAGATGCTGGTGCCAGCCAGGAGAGGCACCTAAGGGCATGTGCAGTGTAGACAAGGGCTTCCTGGCACTGCTCTAACCTGGGGGAGTGGGTGGGGGGAGTCTGGAGCCAGTTCCTGCTGGACAGCCCACAGAAAGTTCACTCTAGTGAGGGAGACAGGCAGCTAAGGCCCTGGCGATCAGGGCAAGGTGCTGTCCTGGCAGAAGAGGGAGTGATGGTGGGAGGCTCTCCAGGAGGAGGTGACGGTAAACCAGGGTTTGAAAGATCATGCATTCAACAGGTGTTTGTCACACGCCTGCCTTGGGCACAGGGCTATATTCACCGGGCTAGTGGAGGAGGACAGTTTGGAGAAAAGGAATGGTATTTGCAGGAGTCTGGAAATGTGAACGTGCGTGGTATAAGTTAAGAGTCTGGGACTCTGGTATTACAGTCGCTGAGGGCTGGGAGTGACAGCAGTGGGGTCAGTGCTGGGTGTCTGGGGTCTCGGATCCCAGATTGGGAGTTTCACTTTTGTGCCAGGGGCGATGGGGAGTCATGGGAGGGCTTTAAGCAGGGAAGGAGCAGGATCAGATTCGGCTTTGAAAGATCACCCTTTGAGTTTGAAGAAGGTGAAGAAGGGCTGGCAGAGCTGCTGGTGGGCCAGGAAGGAAGCTTGGAGGAATCACGGGGCCCAGGAGTGTGCTGAGTGTGAGGCTGCCACACGCCTGGATAGAACAGTAGGGGTGTTCTGCTCTGAAGCCAGGTGGAAGAGTGGGGAGGGAGATAGGCTGCAGCACCAGTGGTGGGCTGGCCTCTGGCAGGAGCATGAAGCACTGGGCATCCAGGGAGCTGATGGAAAAGCAGTTCAGATGAAAAGCAGGGTGAACAGGGATGGGAGGAGAGGGGCTGCAGGGCATCTGAGGGAGAGTGCTAGTGCTGGGGTGGCTCTGGAGAGGGATGTGAGCTGAGCTCAGAAGGACCGGGAGGATCAAAACAGTTTCAGTAAAGGTGGGAGGGGAGCTCTCAAAGCTCATGCCAGGAGCCTTGGTCCTGTTTCAGGTCACCGTGTCCTCATGAATTAGTGATGTCCGCCTTGGGTGAGGAAGTGGTAAGACAGCGAGGCATTTCTGGCTTAAAGAAAGGAATGATTCCATCCACCTAGTGGCTTTTGCCTCAAATCTAGTTTCCCTGGATTCTTCTTTCACTCACCCTGTGTGTCTAAACCGTCAGTAGGTTGTACCCGTGCCACTCCTAAAACATCTCTGAGCCCATCCGCTTTTCCCTTCACCCCCTCTGCCCCAGCACCGCCTCTGTCCTCTTGTCTGGACTCCTGCAGTCGCCTCTCACTAGTTTCCCTATTTCCCCCTCGTCCTTCTATTGTTCCTGTCCTCTGGCCCTTCCCACTTGCCTCCCACTGGGCTAAAAATCCCTGTCTTCTCACTCCTAGAATAAAAAAACCTGCATCCTCTGACTTCCAGAGCCCCATCCCTACACGCTCCAGCCTCCAAGCTGTTCTTATGCCCTTGGCCCATTAAGCTCGAACCACTGGCTGTGCAAATTCTCATTTCCAGTTTAGGGTCAGCATGTGCTTACCTCTGCCTGGAATGCCCTTCCCCCTGCTGTCAGCTTTGGTGTCATGCGCTTACGCCTCCCAGAGCAGCCATCTTGGTCTCTCTGCCCTGTCTCCCCCTTAGCATTCTGATGTGCTCCTTGTCTGTTACCTGTCTGCCCTAGGGGAACAGACTTGCCATGAGAGGAAGGACTTACTGTCCTGTTCCTGTGTCCCTGGTACTTAAGAGCAGTGCCTGGTACTTGGGGATTGCTCAGTAAGTAAGTGGTAAGGGACACAGAGAAGATAACAAAGAGAAGAGGGGTTTGGGGAGTACAGATGATGACTGACACAGGACCCCTTGCATTTGAGGTGCCTGTGGGATGCCTGTGTCTGGGTCTAAGGCTTAGGAGAAAAGGCTGAGATCAGAGAGAGATTTGTGAGGGTGTCACAATTCTGGCCTCAAGGGGATAAGATCTCTGTTTTGAAAGCAGATGCCAGAGCAAAAGGGCTCCAAGCAGGTGACGTGCAGAAGGTTTGGTGAGAACTGAGCCATCCCTGGAAGAAGCCAGGGTGGCTTGATTCTTAGCCCCAGAGATCCCATATTGGGTTTATTGGGTAGCCCTGATCTGGACCCACTTTTATCCTATCTAGGTTTACCAAGATTCAAAACACGAAGCTGACCATGAAGCGGGATGGCATCGGGTCAGTGCGGTACCAGGTCTTGGAGGTGTCTCGGCAACCACTCTTCACCAATATCACAGTGGACATTGGGCGGCCCCCGTCATGGCCCCCCCGGGGCTGATACTAACGGACAAAGGCTCCCAGGGCCAAGGATTGCCTGCCAGAGGACTGACCTCGATAGCCTGGCTGGCGGCTATTCTGTGGGACCCCCCAGGACTGAGACTGTGGGCTCTGTTTTTGGAGGGTCTTCCATAGGCACCCCCAGCTGCACCTGGAAGTTTCAGAACCTACTTTGGGGGACTTCCAACCTGGGCAAGCCCCTCCAGTGTGGCCCTCTCTGGGGTCAACCCTTCTTCCTGCCCCTCCCTCCCCAGCCCAGCCTTCCCTCACTGTCAGGGTCGGGCCAGCCCCTGCACTGCCTCACCGAGTGGCCTGGGCTAGGTCACTCCACCTCTCTGTGCCTCAGTTTCTCCCCCCTTGAGTCCCCTAGGGCCTGGAAGAATGGGAGGTACAACTAGGGGGCAGTGTAGCTTCCAGGGGGAATTCTCAGACCTGGGGATCCCCCATGCTCCCAGGGGAGGGGAAACCTTTTTCATTCAACATTGTAGGGGCAAACTCTGGTGCGCCCCCTGCTGAGGAGCAGCCCCAGGAGGGGACCAGAGGGGGTGCTGTGTCGCTGCCTGGGATCTTGAGGTTGGGCTTTTGCATGGGGGGCGGGTGGGGCTTAGATCAGTCAATCTGGTTCCCGCCTCCCTGTCTCAGAGAGAAGGCAGTAGCCCCAGGGCCGGCTCGTTGTTTGTACATTGCACAGAAACTTGTGTGGGTGCTTTAGTAAAAAACGTGAATGGAGCAGCCCCTTTGTCTGCTTGGGGTTAGCGAATCTGGGCGCAGATTCCACACCGCGTGTGTTTTGTGGGAGGGCACCTGGCCTAACTCGTCTGTCTGGCCCGGGCTGTCCGGGTTCCCCAGGCCCCAGTTGCTCGCGAGACTTCGCCGACTCTAGGAGGAAAGGTTTACCCTGCCGCTGCCTCCCGCTAGGAGAGGCAATGAGGTAATAACGGTCCCAGTGGGCTCCGATTTCTCGGTTCTTCCCACCTGCCCCAAAGCCGAAAGCTGCCGCGAGACGAGCCCAGAGGGCTTGGCGTCAGGACTGGTCCGACTCCCGGCTAGCCGGCACCGCCCACCCCACCTGGAATGGCTGGGGGCGGAGCCTGAGTAGCGGCGCGGTTTCCCGGGTGACGGCCGCGCGGAAGGGGCGGGGCTATAGCCCCGGTTCCCACTTCCCGGCTCCTGGGGGCCGTGACGGGGAACCGTGGCCCCCGAGAGTCAGCCAAAAGCGGGGCAGAAGGGACAGCGCTAGAGACCGGCGGCTCCGGACCGGGTAATTCAGTCGCTGAGACCGGCGGCAGAACAAGGGTGGGGCTTCGGCAGTCCGGGGAGTGCGAGGGGCTGGAGGCGTGGCCCGTGAGGAGGGGCGGGGCGCGAGGGGGCGGGGCCCACCCTTGAGCGACTGGCCTCCAGGTAACGCAGCCCGGCCACCTGCTTTCCCGCAGGTGCGAGACCCGGGCCGCTCGTCTGGGGACGGCGGCGCAGGCGGGCCATGCTCCGGGACTCCCCGTCTCTGTGGGAGCTGGTAGAGGAGCACATTCCGCTCCCGGAGCGGCCCGAAGTGAAGAGGATTCTGGGCGAGACGACGGTGGACCTGAGCCTGGAGCTACGAGCAGAGGTGGGGAGTGGGCAGATGGGCCACACTCCAGGTCTGTCCCAGGACTCGGGTGATTTACCCCACCTCCTCCGGGTCCCCGGTCCTGCCTGATAGCTCTCGAGATCTTGCCGGATCTCACCGTCCCCAGCCCTCTTGACTCTGCTCTGCCCCTCAGTCCCCCAGCCCCCTACACTTCCGTCACTTCTCCCCCGAGTCCCAAGGTGTCCCAGCTCTCCTTGCAGGTGGTGTTGCTACAGTCACTGCTCCAAGAGGCTCTATCCTCCCAAGCCTCTGGCTCCCGCCCCACCTCTGATCCCTCCTCCCTTCTGGCACCACCACCCCTCCTAAGAGACCTCATGCGCCAAGAACTGAGGCAGCTGCTCCTAGGGCTCCGCCAGAAGGCCATCTGCGAGGGCAGGTGGGAACCTCAGACCTAGGCCCTGCGGCAGAACTAAGAGGGGCTAGCTGTGCGCCTGATAAGGGGCCAGGATTGCCTTTGATGGTTCCCTGGAAGGAGTCCCTGAATTACCCTCAGTGCACCTTCTGCAGGGACCAGACCCAGGCTTGGGTCCAGTATAGCCCCAGGGTCCTGCGCTTTGCCTTGGAGGAGCCTAGGTGTGATTTGCCAGAACAGGAGGTATTGCAGATGAGAGCTGGTGAACTCAGGTAAAGTGGTGGTAGGAGAGGAGGGAGCTGTTCCTGCTTGGCAGAGGACCCCATCCAGCTGGTGGGTTCCACTTGGCTCCATGGAGAAGTTCCTGGCCTGGAGCTTGGATCCCTACAACCATATGTAGGGATCCAAAAGAGCTGGGCTAGAGAATGCTGGGGACTGCCTGAGATAAAGAAGGAGCACGTTTACAAGTGTATAAGCAGCCACTTATTTCTCGTTCTCACACAAGCCTTTAGGGGAATGATGGCCCCTTTTTACCAACGAGTATCTGAAACTCAGAAGGGATAATCCATTTGCCCAAGTTCATGCACATTGAAGGGTGGCAGAGCTGATTTGCAAACCCAAGCTTCAGAACTCCTCCCCTTTGCGGTCTATTATGTTGCCTTTGTGAGAAAAGACACAGAATTGTCTAGGAGAAGTGGCATTTGTATCCTGAAGGCCTGGGGTGAGGCAACATTGGGAGAGTGACAGTGACCTCATCTGCCAGCAGCGGTCAGAGGGACCTCAGCATCATCAAGGACCAACTGAATGTGTCCAGCATTGACCAGGTTGCTGGACACCTGCGGTGAGGCCCCTGAGTGCACATGGTGGGGTGGACACAGGGAGGATGGGGCTGGGACAGGTCTCCAAGTACCGGGACTGGACTGCGGGAGAGGAAAAGGGGGACACACACCTGGTGGGGACCAGGAGAGGAAGGCTGACAAGTGGAAAGGGTGGGTTGCTGCAGGGCCGCTGTGGAGGAACTGTGGCAGGGTTTTGAGCTGGGGAGGGGCTGTGATGTGGGGGAGAAGGGAGGCTGGTGTGCACTGTGAGGTCGGCACAGGGAGGACACATCCTGTCCTGGAAGAGGCTGGCAGGGGTGGAAGGCTGCAGCCAGTGCCTGGCCCCAGAAAGCAGGGTGGCCTGAGGCAGGAGGTCCTAGCGGTGGGGAGGCTGGAGGTTAGGGGCTGGGTGGAGGGCTTAACTGAGACTGGGTCTCGCGGAGCTGGCCGTGGCTGCCATACTCCCATGTGTCCCAGGAGCCTCCTAGAGGAGGAGTGTCACACCTTGGAGAGGATGATCCCTGTCCTGCAGGTGAGCGGCAGCCCGGGGCCTCCCTGCCCAGAGCCTTTCTGCCAAGTGTAGACACCACGGCCTCTCACCTGGCATGGGAGAGCCGTGTGTTGTGTGTGTTTGTCTGGGTGCACATGTGCATGGAAAGGTGTGTGTGGGTGCTGTGGCCATTTCTCACATGTGCATGGTCCCTATGTGTGTGAATCCAGAAGGTTCTGTTTGAGCCCCTTAGCCCAAGGTCAGCACTTTTAGATTAACTCGCTGAATTGTCCCTTGTCTTTGCCTCCTTCCCTTCCCTAAGTCTGAGTCCAAGCCAGCCACCCCCTTACCAAGAAAGGCTTTTCAGGGGAGCTAGTGTCCCCCCCCACCCCTATGGGCTGCCTGAGCCTGTTTGGGGGGCCCTGCCATGGGGATCTTGGCCTCTGCACCCTGCCCTGCCCCACCCATGCCTCAGGCCAGGCACTGAGCCAGCTCTCCCAGCAGCGCTGCCTGGAAGAGGAGTACACAGGGGCACCGCAGCCCTCCAAGGCAAGCCTAGCGCCCACCCTGGCAGGTGAGGACCCCAAGGAGTCCCCAGAGCACCCAGCCTCCCGCTCCCCACCCCACACTGGTGTACGGCCCAGAGCTGCTGGGCGCTGTGTGTCAGAGGCGCCTCTCCCACAGAGCTGAAGGAGCAGAAGGCAGCCATGCGCCGGGAGCTGCAGGCACTTCCGAGGCCCTCCCATGTCTCCTCCAGCCTCAGGTCAACTCCAGCGGTGGCCCAGCCGGACAGGGTGGCCAGAAGGTCAGGCCGCTGCTCGCTTACTGCTGCTCTTTCCTCTTCAGGCAGCAGCCCGTGGGATCCTCCAGCCCGGGGCTCAGACCCCGGCCTTGCCCCCTCGGGACGGCTGGGGTTTGGACAGGGCCTGGCCAGTGCTGCCTGCCCGCCCCACCTCCCAAGTGCTGCCCTCGCCCCCGACACCTGGCTACCACCTGCCGCTGGGGCCGGAAGCTTCAGGGCAACCCTGGGGAAAGGCCAGTGTCTACTCCATCATCCAGCGCAACACCCCAGGCCTCCACCTGAAGGGCTGATCGTCAAGTAGGCCTTGGCGTCTGCTGGAACTCACCCCGTCCGCTGCTGCCCACCCCTCAGCTGCTGTGGCCCAGCCTGCTTCAGATCTAGTCTTGGATGGGCCCGAGCCAGGATGCAAGGCTCTCCATCTATCTGGCCCTTCTTGCCCCTCCCCTTCGCTGAGCCCCTGGTGTCTGGTTCTGACCATCAGAGCCTTTGGCCTTTCTTCTCCCGGTCCTCCACAAAGGCCTGGCAGGCAGAGGTCTCATCCCTGCCCCGACTCTTGTCCCCCTGGGGGACTCAGACAAAGCACAGCAGCAGCTCAGAGACAGGAATAGAAATTTCATTAAAATCTATGGACTTTAAAATCCTAGTGGTGCACGGATGGGCAGGGGTGGGCGATGCACCATTATTGCTACAGACGATTAGAGGCGGCTCTTCAGGGCTGTCACTGCACAGAGGGGCACAGAGGATAGACAGACGGACACTGCGGGGCTGGGGGGAAAGGAGCTCTGGCTCCAGAGGGGATGGGGCACGCAGGATGGGGCCATTTGGCACATGAACAAGGGCAGTCCAGTTTGGGAGGACTGGACCTTAGCCTGGTGGAGGGAGGGCAAGGGGGTTTCGTGTAAGGTCCCCTTCCCTGGGGCTCTGGGTTCAAACCTCCTGCTGAGCAGCACCCCACCCCTACCCCCCAGAAACGAGTGCTTTGGGCAGGCTGCTGGGTGATGGGCCTCTGCTGGCTGGGCCTGACAGCCAGGGCTGGAATGAGGTGTGGAAACCCCAGAGCAGCCGAGTGAGGTGCAGGCAGGCAGGGAAGACAGAGGGGCCCAAGGCGGGGGGCATGGGAGTGGCAACCACAGAGAATACGATTTTTACAAAAATAATCACACAGACAAACAGGGCTGGGCAGCACAGCCTGACAAAATAACACTGTACAGCCCCTTAGCCCCTCACCTTGCCCCTGGATAGGAAGACCCAAATTTGCCTGGGCAGAGGCTGGGGTCTGCTCTGGGGGCAGAACACTGGTCAGGCGGCTGGAGGCCTGAGGACCGGGTCAGGTAGGGGCCCACCTAGAACCGCAGCTCCGGACAAAGTGTGAGGGCATCAGAGGCCATGTAAAGCCCAGCAGATCTCTGGGGACCTGGCCTGAGACCCCCTCCAAAGTGCTTTGGCCCCACCCCTGGCAACCCTCCTATCGCCCACACCCATCCCCAGCTGCCATCTTGGCATCCAAAGAACCTGTAAACACTGGGGACACGAGCACAAATGACCACATTACCAGTGGTGACCAAGGTAACAGCAGCCGCCCTGGGTAGGGCATGGCAGGGGCAGGTGGTGACACCTGTCCCCTCTCTCCCCAGTCTCTGTGGTGGGAGCACGGGCGGGGGTGGGGCCCTCCCTGGGCGGGGCCCTCCCCGGGCTGCTGTGCTCATATCCGGGAGTCCTGCAGGCGGCTAGAGCCGTTACTGCCCACCATGGGGATCTGGGACTTGTCCGGGTGCAGCGGCTGGACCTCAAGCCCGTCTTCAGGAGAGGGTGGGATGGCGGGGGCATAGCGCCCAGTCTGGTGCTCCAGGAGGGCGGGGCCCCAGTCTCTGCTTGGCTTTGTGGCATTTTTCAAACGCTGCAGGAGAGGTAGACATGGAGGGTGGATGGGTGCTTCAGAAGGGGGCCATGAAGCCCCATCCACCCACCCCCTCCCGGTTCACCTGGCTGTGGCCTGCCCCGACCCCTCACCTGGAGGAGCGTGTCCCCATCTGTGCGGCAGAGCTGGAACAGGGCATAGAGGGGGATGCAAATGACGGAGGACAGAGCCATCAGGAAGCCGATGGCCACAGCCCAGCCTGGGTATTGGTAGTGGTTGTAGGTGATTGGCCGGTACTGGATCACGGTGAAAATGAGAATGAACTGCAGACAGTAGGGGAAGGGAGTGCCTTTGAGGCCAGCCCAGCACCGCCCCTGCATCCCCGCCCCTCCATCCTCCACCCCTCCATCCCCACCCTTCTCCAGGCCTCTGCCCTCCGCCCAGCACCCCTTCCCCTTCCTCTCTGGTCTCCCGAACTAGGAAGAGGCATTTGGGGCAGGACAGAGGCAATGTCAAGGTTTGGGAAGGGGAAAAAGCAGGTGGAACCAGGGGTCCAGGGCCTGGGGGACAGGTAGGCATCAGGCATCGTGGAAGAGAAGAGGTCTGTCCGCACCATAATCCTGAACCCGCCAGGGAACAACTGATAACCACTGATAACACTGATGACAACTGATAACCACCTGAGTCAGTTCCGCTCAGAGACTCTCGATGGCTCCCTTTTGCCGAATCCTGGGCCTTAGGGTTCTTACCCTGATCTCACCCTGGTCTCAGTGTCTGGGCTGCACCCAGCATTTTCCTCCCTCTTCATTTATTCTGGAGAATCCTCTCCATTTTCCTGTCAGACCCTATGTAAATGCCACCTCCTTCAAGAAGCCTTTCCAGATTTCTCATCCCTCTTCCTAAAAGGGCTCTCAATGGCATTTTCCAACTGCTGAGCACTTGTTTCATGTTTCCCATAGGCCTGGGGCCTCCTGGGACCCCATCAGGGTCTCCAGTTCCCGACACAGTACCTGGCACAACTTCACTGTCGATTTGAACTGACTTGTGCAGAGAGATGGGAGCGATGCAGGAGAGGATAGGGCCAAGCCCCACCTGTCTAAGGCTCGGGAGCCACAGGGGAGGCTCCAAAGGCTAGAAATGGCGAATGGCAGTCTGGGGACCAGGAACGGTTTTGGAAAGAGAGGAATGGAATGGAAATGAACCCCGGGGCCACAGCAACACGACAACAAACTAAGGAAGCAGAAAGATGGGCAGGTGGCCCAAGGGCCATTCCCCGGGGGGCCTCGGCAGCTGCCTCCCGCCTCCTGAGCCCTCAGCAGCATCCTGGTGCCCAAATTCCGGGTGGGCGAGATCCACATCCACTAGGGGGCCTCCCTCCCGGAAGCTGTGCATAGTAGGAGCTTATGACAAGTTTCCTGAACGGAACTAGATGCTGATCAAGGTGTAAACAAGTCCCTTGTCTCAGCTGACAGAAAGACAGTTTGTCAAAAAGAGCCTTTCAGAAATATAAAGAAGTAAAGCCCCCAAAGAAGACATGACAGCCCAGAAATATGGGTCCACAGGGCCTGGAGTCCTCGGCTTAGGGCGACTCCGGCCTGGCTTTCTGAACTCAGAGATGGTGCTGCCCACTTTGTCTCAATCTCACAGAGACATGGGACCTGGGCTCAGTCTGCCACTGCCCTGCCCAAACCTCGGGAGCCTTCCTGTGTCCGTCTCCTCACTGCCTCCTGCTCTGCCTTGGCTGGTACCCGGGGTCTCTGCCCAGGGTGGCAGCCTCTTTGGAGTTCTGGAGGGTGAGCTCCCCTCCGGAGGGTCCTGGGCCTTGGCCTCAGCCACAGCCCCCAGGGGCTCACGCTTGGCCACAGTGCCTAGCCGCCCCCGCCTCCCACCACTTACAGGAGGCTTCCGTTGCTCCTGTTTCACAGCTGGGCCAGTGGCCAGAGCTGGTGGCTGTGCCAACCTCCGGGAAGATCCCACACCCCATGTGACAGAGGCCTCCTCAGCCTCGGGGGCCTTTTCCCTCCCCCAGAAATAGGAGCTCAAGTGAAAATCCAGTGCTGAGCTCCCTGTGGCCCAGAGAAGCTGGGCATGACAGGGACATGACTGAACACTGCTTCCCCTGCCACTAGGCTCACCCTTCTGTCACTCAGGTGGCCCTTCCTCTTCTCTGTGGAGCCACCATTCCATCGTCAAACACTTTGTGGCTCCTCCCCCAACCCTGGGCATAAAGGAGCAAAATCAGATGGTTTTTAGCCCGTGGACCAGTCCGCCTTCCTGCAGGCGTTTCTGATGTAGCCTGGCCCAGCACACAGGCTCCAGACGGGACCACCGGCTTCCAAGGGCGATTCTGTCCTTTATTAGTTGTGTCAACTTGGGTCAATGACTGAACATCTCTGTGCCTCTGTCTCCTCATCTGTCAAGTGGGAATGACAATGATACCTTGGAGAGTCGGATCACATGAGTTGATCCATGAACAACGTGCAGAAATTCCAGTCTCCCAGGTGTTGATTATCAGTGGAATGAGAGCATTCCCTCTCCAGAGCCAGGCCACTCTGGTGCCTAGAAGGCTTAGGAGGCTGCCTCTAGTCTGGAGCTGACATCTGACTCGAACAACCCACTTCTGGAACACCCATGCATTCACACTGCATACCCCGAGCACCTGGGCTTAGAGAGATTGGAGATGGGAGCTCAGCTAGGCCCAGCAAGGGGGACACCCATATCACTAATGGTTGCTGAGGCCCATCGGGGACAGGCAGGAGGGAGGGCCAACTCTCAGCAGCTGCCAGTCTGCTTTCTTCAGTCGAATAAGGGCTCTCAGCTCCCTCCCTACACTGAGGCCGGTGCCTGGGTGGTTCTGAGTCTCCACCTGATTTTGTGCAACCTCTTTCAGACTCCCAGTGGCCTGGGTGCATAGACCCCGTTGGGGAGCTCTGGCTAGACGGATGGGCTCCCGAGCTCCCTCTGCTGGTTCCCAATAGAAGGACACTTGCCAGAGGGCAGCAGGGAGGAAGGGTCCAGACTAGAAACTTACAAAGATGATGGCTGGAGACACAAAGCGCCAGCAGATCTGGAAGAAGAGGGGCGGTGGGAAGCCCAGCATCATCTGGATGTCCTGGAAGTAGTTCCTGTGCCCTGAGAGAGGGGTGTCAGTAAGCCTGGCAGGGCAGCGTGGGCAGGCCAGGGCCTGGGACGTGAGAGGACACAGAAACTTGGGCACTTACCATAGATGTACATGATGGACACACACATGATGCAGGAGATGATGACCAAGGAGAAGCTGGCCGCATAGTTGTCCATTAACAGCAGCCAGTAGATGCCTGCCTACGGGACAGTGGGTAGCTGAGTCAGGAGTGCCCGAGGCCCCGATCTCCCGCCCCAGAAACCCCCTACCCTGGCCACTCCAGCCCAGGCTTTCCCTCAGGTCTTACCTGGCTGGTGAGGGGGATGCCCAGCAGGAAGCCAGCCAAGGCCACACCCAAGGTCACGTAGGTCTTTTTCTGCAGGATCCACTCATTTCCCACCTCGTCCACAATGGCTGTGACCAGCGTCTCTAGGAGGCAGAACTGCAGGGTGTGGCTGTCAGAGCAGGGGCCTGGCCTCTGGCCCCACCTCCTCCTTCACCGGGCCCCTGGCCCATGTCCCGAACCTCCTACCTGAGTGCCCAGCCCCAGCAAGATGAGCATAAAGAAGAAGAGCAGGGACCAGAGTGGGGAGATGGGCAGCAGGGTGAGGGCCTCCGGGTAAGCCACGAAGGCTAGGCCAGGGCCATGGTCAGCCACACGGGACACGTCCACACCCAGGTGATTGGCCATGAAGCCCAGGATGGAGAAGATGACGAAGCCGGCGTAGACGCTGGTGGCACAGTTCGTGATGCTAATGATGATGCTGTCCCTTGGGGGAGAGGGAGGAAAACAGGCTTCAAGATGAGCAGCTGGCTTGCCTTTGCCCTCTTCCCTTTGCCCAGCTGGGCAGGGAGGAGACCTGAGATGGAACATTCTAGGAACAGAATCCCCCTCAGCCTCTTTTCTGGTCTGCTCCTGGCCTTTTTAAGTGGGCTGAGCCTCTCGAGTCCCCACAGACCCATAGGGCATCACCGTTCCCCACCCTCTTCTCGGGATTCTCCAGTGACCCACTCCAGACCCAGTGCTCCCAGGACCTCCAGGCCATGTGTGGAACGGAGGGCCCTCGGGGGAGGCCTAGGAGGCTGCACTGGGTCTGGGGATCTGGGAAAGCCTGGGGAAAGCTGCAGGGTAGAGGGGGCAGCCTGGGGCTGGCAGGGCAGGGGCGGGGGGGGGGAATCTCACCGATAGCAGTTGTTATGGAATTTGTTGTAGGAAGCCATGGTGATGAGGCCTCCCCAGGCACAGCCCAGCGAGTAGAATATCTGGGAGGCAGCATCCCCCCACACCTGCGGGGCAGGACGGGCAGAGGAGCTGGGATCAGAGGCGGGCACCTCTCGGCCCCTCTCCGCCCCTTCCAGGACACACTCCATGGCCCACCTTGGCCTCTAGGATCTTGTCCCACTGGGGGGTCAGGTAGTACATGATGCCAGTGAAGGCTCCTTCCAGGGTCACACCTCGGACGAACAGGATGGTCAGCACCACGTAGGGAAACGTGGCTGTGAAGTACACCACCTGTGCGCAAGACGGGCTCTGTTGGGCTCCTCCCAGCTGTTGTTCCTGCCCTGGGCAGCCTCCGCCTGGTCCCCCAGCCACCACCAGCCCTCTGGCCCTTCCCTCTCCTCCATGTCCTCTCATCACTGCCTGCACCCAAGCCCTATACACTAAACCCCAGCAGGGGAGGCAGGATCTTCCTGGGTGAGCACACACCCTGCTGGGGTAGGGGTACTTACTTTCCCTGAAGACTTGACCCCTCGGATGAGGCAGAGGAACACCACCACCCAAGAGACACCGAGGCAGCCAAGGAGGGGCAGTCGCACCTCCCCGAAGTTCCCAATGTCATCTGAGAGCTTCAGCACGTACAGCCTGGGGAAGGGGACACTCTGTTATTGAGGCCTGGGTCCCTGATGCCCAGCAACTGAGTCCCAAGGCCCAGGGTACAGCCTGGCAGGTTCCTTCTTTCTCATGAGGTCCCAGCATGGAAGAAGGGGGCCACTGGGAGGCCCCAGCCCAATGGGTCCCACCCCACCCCTTCTGCCCGCTTCCCTGAGACACCACTGCTTGCAGCCCCTCCGGGATCCTCAAAGGTGCCCAGAGGTAACACCCTGAGCCTGGACCAGCCTCCTCAGCCCCCGGGGTGTCAAGGTCTCCCCGCCCCTATTCGGGCCCATCCCAGACCCTGACTTGTGCCTTTCTTCCTTTAGTAATGCCCTCTCCTCTAGAATGGTCACATCCTGTCAGGCGTCACCTCCTCCAGGAAGCCTTCTGGGAACTCTCCACCCACACTAGCTTCTCCATCCCTGAAGAGCTGAGGGAGGTGGTGGAGTGCTCAGTAAAGACTGGAGGCTCTGATGCATGCAGGCCTAGGCCTGAACCCAAATTCCTCCCCTATGTATGTGTGGCTCTATCTAGTGCCCTACACCGCCCCAGCAGTGCCTTTTCAATCAACGGGGCACCTATGGGCTGGGCCCTGTGATAGGTGCCGGGCACAGAGACCCAGATCAGGCACATGGGCACCAAGGAAGGGCATCTCGATACCAGGCAGAGGGGCACTCTGGAAGGCTTCCCAGAAGAGATGAGGCTTGAGCTAAGGTGTGAGGAAGGGAGCAGGTGCGTGAAGAGAAGAGGATGCGCATGCCAGGTCGTGGGTGCAGCTCGCAGCAAGACAGGGGATCATGAAAGAACGTGGCCTGGCCTGGGTTTGTCAGTAGCTCAGCAAGGCTGGAACAGAAGGTGAGGGAAGAGAGAAGGATGAAGGAAAGGAAGAAGCCAGATTATAAGAAGCCATGAAAGGCAAGGCTGAGAAGTTTGAATTTTATCCCGCGAGCAATGGGAAGCTTCTGAAGGGTTTCTATAATAGCACTTTCAGGGTCTCTCCTTGGCTCAAAACTTTGCAGTAGCACCCGTCTCTCACCAGGGAAAAGCCTAAGTCCTTACAGTAGCTGCAAGGCCCGAAGTGGTCCATTGTCCCCAGTCTGCCACCCCTCTGGTCTCCTGTCCTTACACTTGATGACCCACTCCCTGCCCCAGCTGCATGGGGCTCCACATAGTTCCTGAACCATGCCAGGCACGCACCTCCCTCAGGGCCTTTGCACGCATGAGCTTTCCCTCCGTCTGGAGTGCTCTTTCCCCAGACATCCATATGGACACGTGGGTGTGAGGCGTGTGCAGTCACACAGGGCCCCTGCTTCAAAGGGCCTTGTTCTGGACTTAACGTTCTGCCACCGACATCTTGAAATTCTGACTACATCTGAATAAGGGGCCCCATATGTCCATTTCACACTGGGTCCCACAAATTACGCCACTGGGTTTGTCGGCATCGCCTTCTCCCTCCTCAGCTCCTTCAGGTACTTGCTCTGGGTACCCTCTTTGCAAAGGGACCTTTTCTGGCGACTCTGCTTAAAATGGCAGCCCTGGTCCCTGCCCAGCACCCCTTACCCCCTTTGCTAGATTTTTCTCCACAGCACACATCTCCTTTTTTTTTTTTTTTTAACCTAATTTATTTTGTTTGTCATCCATTTTCTTGGAAGGCAGGAGTACCCAGCTCCCCCACTGTCTAGCAAAGTGCCTGGCACGGAGCAGTACTCAAAAGATGTTGAATGAATGAATGAATGAATGAGTAAGTGAATACCGTGGTAAAGGGACTCGGAAGTAGAAAGGAGAGAACCTGGGAGCGGGGACCAGCCTGGTATTGCAGTTGTCCAGGCCAGAAGTGATGAGCAAGAGGCAAGCTCTTGAGCCTCAGTTTCCTCATCTGTAAAATGGGCATAACAACACCAATCTAGCATAATCTGTAGCTGGACTTAGGTAAACACAGGCTCCCTTCTGTCCCCTCTCACAGCTAAGATCTCTCAGAATAGCTCATAGACTGTCCTCTACCGTTCTCAGCTATTCTCACCTTTTTTTCCAAGTCAGTTCTCAAACCTCACGGCGACATTTTTAATACCTTGTGATGCGATGTTGCTCTGTCCCCTCATGGGACAATGTTGCCAGGCCTGGGATTTGGTGTTTGCTCCGCAGGCCTGTCTCTTTGCAGCCACGGAAATTCCCCGGAGGCCACCCTTTGCACCGCAACCCGCAGAGGGCGCTGTCCGACACGTCCCTCTGCGCCCCCAACTCCAGGCTCTTGGTTCAGGAGCTGCGGGACCACCACCAAGAGGCACCTGATCCCCTTCGACAGTGCTTTCAATCTTTTTTCCTTCATAGTACACAGAAAAAGTATTCTGGGAGCTACTGGGGGTAAACAGACGAAATCACTCAAAGCTGAAGGCAGTTGGGCTGGGGCTCCGGGCTGCCCAGGCCCCACTCTACGGGGCACACCTACTGTGTGCGTGCTGGGAAGTTCTGCCCTCTAGAATAGCCACAGGGTCCTTCTGCTTCTACCACTCAGACCTGCCTTACTTCAGGCAATAGTATTCCATGTAAAGAAACCATTTCTTGTTCAAAAGATTTTTTTTAACTTTGTCTAATTATGTATGTTCAACTGGTAGTGTTTTATATGACTTTGTTTAATCATTTATATGATTTGCAAGGGCACAGCATTACAATACCAGGGGGTTAACAAAGTTTAGAATGCTAGCCTGGGCACCAAGTAGTGAATTCTACCTCTCTTTTTTATGGCACCATATTTAGTTTTTTTTTGTTTTGTTTTGGGACCATGTGCTTTTGAGATCAATTAACCTAAGAACTCTTGGAACCCAACATCTTTACAAGTTGGCTCTCGGTGCATAACATCTCTGGAATTATTCTGCATTATTTTTTAATTGCCGCAGCCTGGCGATCAGCTCCTTGAGAACAAAATAGCCTAATCTGTTTCTTTGCGTCTCCAGCAGCAGCTGGAGCTCGTCGGCAGGCATCACTGTGCTACCCGAGCACCCGTCCCTGTCCTTCGTGGTCCATCTGCGTGATCTCATCTCCTCTTTACAACAAGGTAGGTGCTGTGACCCCCTCCCATTTAATGGATGAACAGCTATGACTTTGAGAGGTTGGGTGGTCTCCCGAGGCCAAACAGTTGATAAGCGAAAGAGCCACGATCTGAGGGAGGTCTGTGCAACTCCAGAGCTGCCATGAAGACACTGGGAGCAGGGTGCTGGGGCCTGAGTCCCACTGGGTTTCGGGTGCTCTGGGCTCCACAGGCTGTGGAGGTGAGGGCCTGGTCGTTTCTTAGGACCTCCAGGCCTGAATCAGACCAGCACGCAGATGATCGTGAAATAAGACTGAAGGGCTGGTAGGAGAGAGGAGACCATGGGCCAGAGGGTGGGCAGGAGGCAGACTGGGGCTCAGAAATCTGTCCTCTGCGCTTCTCTTGCTTTAGAAGTGTCTCCTAATCTTTTTTCTGACTTGCTTCCCTCATCTGTAAAATGGGACTATTTTATACTACCTGCACGAGCTAGCAAACGAGGTTGTGGTGGGGCTGCAATGTGATCACACAGCTTTCTGAAGGGGTGTTGGAGAGCGTGGGCCAAGGACACCTGCAGAGTCTCATTGGCGTGATTCATACCATCGACCTGATTCACACACGGGGGAGGGCATGTATCCTGACCCAGCGTGGCCGCCTAGTTCCTTAATCTCTGAACATCAGCCTCTGAATCTGAAAAATAGGGGTACTAGGACAGGAGATAATATGCCTGGCACATAGTAGGGGCCCAGGAAATGGGGGTGCTTGCTCTCCCCACTTCCTTGCGGAAGCCAGCCTGGGCAGACCTCTCAAGGGTCATTTTCCCAGGGTTTCCAGAAGGGGGCAGCAGGGAGCCATCCCGCAGGGAAGGAGTCCCGGTGGGTTGTGGCTAGTGAGGCAGGCCTGGCTCCAGCCTTGACTGAGGAGAGTTCAATGGGCCACCCAGTGAGCCCTCCCAAACCATGAGCAGTTTTCTTTGAGGACTATTCCCCTCTGGATAAAATCTCCAGAACTTTGCCCTGGCTGGCCCTAGCTAGCTGGGACTTCCTGGCAGACAGCTGCTAGGGTGAGGGCTTCGGAAGCAGCCTGGTGGGTGTGGGTGAGGCTTTGTGCTCCCCAGACACCCCACCCCCCCAAGTCTAGATCAAGTTGCCAGCCCACACCGTGCCTCAAATGTAGTACAACACCTAACTGGGCAGTAAATTGCCTGGTCCTCTCAGTAGATGGGACCTTCATGAGGGCAGAGGCCGAGTATCTCAGTCCTCATGCTGTCTCCCTTCCAAGGGCAGGGTCTGGTACCCACTAGGTGCTCAAGAAATGATCTGTCCAGGGGCGCCTGGATGGCTCAATGGCTCAATGGGTTAAGCCTCTGCCTTCGGCTCAGGTCATGATCTCAGGGTCCTGAGATCGAGCCCTGCATCGGGCTTTCTGCTCAGCGGGGAGCCTGCTTCCTCCTCTCTCTGCCTGTCTCTCTGCCCACATGTGATCTCTCTCTCTGTGTCAAATAAATAAATAAAATCTTAAAAAAAAAAAAAGAAAGAAAGAAAAGAAATGGTCTGTCTAGCGACTGAGGGGCTGAGTCAGCCTGGAGGTAATTTTACCTGCCCCTCGCTGGGAGGCAGGAGCACTGTTGTCTACACTGCGAGCCCCTGGTGGTAGTGACCACATCTTAGCTGTTTTTGAATGTCGGTGGCACAGCACAGCGGCTGGTGCAGGGAAGCCAGGCCCTGTGGGGTCAGAGCACCAGGACCAGGCTCAGAGGATACTGACCTGCTAGGATTTCCAGCCTCCCTGGGGCCTCGGCCCTCTCACCTATGGCTCTCTGCCACTTGGTGGACAGACTTCAAACCTCAGCCACCTCGCAGCAATGGCCTACCTTCCCATGTCTCTCCTAACCCTTCTACACCTCCCTCCTCCCTCCTAGGGGAAGCCTTTTGGACCACCTCCTCTTGCCCCCGTCCCTTCAGAACTGGCCACCCCCTCTTTGTGCCCCTACTACACCTCTGCCCTAATTGGACCCCCTCAGGGCTGTGGACTCCTCAGGTGAGCACCTCTGGGCTCTTCAGACCCCATGGGTACCCAGGACCTGGCAGAGCAGACCGTGCAGATGTGGAATGAATTAACATGCCCTTCCCACAGGCCCCCAACACTCTCTTCCCATCGGTTCCCCAACAAGACACGGGGAGTCTCCTTTAGGACTTCCCCCTGCGCCCTCACTCCTACCCCGTGGGAACAAGGTGTTCTAGAACACTCCAGCAGCAGACTGAGACTCCCATCTCTGTCACCATATCAGTGCCAGGCTGTCTTTCCTAAGCATAGCTTGATGATGACAGCCCTGGGCTCAGGAAACTTCTACAGCTCCTTTCGCCCTGCAGTGGTATGTCTATGCTTAATTCATAGAAGTTCTCCAAGAAGGCTGGAGCCCCTCCTTGGCTCCCTTGGGTCCCAGGAGTTTCCCACACACCTGTGAGTCTCAGCAGAAGAGCTTCCCTTCAGGGTTAGGACCAGCCTCTGCTCCTCTGGGACCTGAGGACTTTGCTCACGCTGTTCTCACAAGGAAGACACCCCACTGTCCCCACTCCACTCTGCTTCGTGTCCGACTGCTGGAGCCCTCCCTCCCTCATGGCACCCTGGTCAGGATGCTCCACTCAGCGTCTAGCCCTCCAGCGCTGTCGGCTGGGTCAGCCTTCTCTCCTGAGCTCATCTGTAAGCTCCTGAGGCCCTCTCCCCGGCTCTGGTCCTGGCCCCCTACCTGCTCAGCAGAAAGTTGCACGATGGCTGGGGGTGCTGGGCAGGGAGATGCTGGGCAGGGAGGGTGGAGGGGAGGCGGGGAAAGCCAAGGCTTGGCACCAGGTATCCATGTCGTCCCCCACTCCCCACCCCCCTACCCCACCCCATCCCCCACTGGGTCTGGTCCAGGGCCAGTGGGACCTCACCTCCAGTACTCCTCGCTGGGGCTGGTCCGCTGGAGGGAGTGGTTGAGCAGGTGGGAGAGGCTGCCTGGCGGGGCGGCGGGCCGGGAGCCATTGGTGAGGTTAGAGGCGTCCAGCACCCCGGCACAGTCAGGCGTGTTCCAGGGGTTATCACAGTAAGCCCAGGGTAGCACATGCGTCATGGACGAGAAGAAGTAGTAGAAGGCGATGCAGATGACCACGTTGTAGTAGATGCCGATATACGTGGACACTACCATCATGCCGTAGCCCACACCTGCGAGAGGGAGGGAGGGGGGTAGCCTCACGCATCTAGCTGAAGGAAGCAAGGTTAACGCTGAAGGGCCCCCGCCCTGCCCCCCTCCCCCGGGGCAGGCTTTTGTGGAGGGCCATCGAAGGGACAGGTCAAGGCCTTAGCAGGGGTGAGCTGGGCGGCCCAGGGACTTTATGGATACACGTGGTAGGTGGGGAGGGCGGAGGCCAAGTAAACTTGGATCCCAGCATGCATCCGTGGCCTTGGCCATTGATATAGGGCTTGGGGTCAAGCACCAGGGCTCCGGGGAGGTTGGCAGTGTTTGTACAGATGGGTGAGTAGGGCCCCAGAGGCCCGTGTGTGTGTGTGCATGTGTGTGGGGGTGGGGGGCTGGTGTACCCTCCCCAGGCCTCACCTTTGAACATGGGGCTGATCCTCCAGACCCCCAGGCAGCCCTGACTTGCAAACTGGCCGAAGGACAGCTCCATGAAGAAGAGGGGAATCCCGCAGAAAATCAGCATGATGAAGTAGGGGAACATGAAGGCTCCTGGCAGGCAGGGAAAGGTCTGGCTCAGGGTGGGCTTGGGGGCTCCCACCCTCTTCCTGCTGACAACCCAACAGCAAAACTTTCGCGATCAGCTAAGGCCCAAGGAGGGTGGGCCACACACTGAACAGGAGCCTGGGGCTTGAGGTATCCTACCCACAGCCCACCTTTGAACTTGGCAGAGGCTTCCTGAACAGAACCCAGGCCCCAGACCCACCATGTTAGGGTGGGATTTGATGGGTTCACCAAGCAAAGTCACAAACCTAAGTTGCTGGGATCCTCAAATTCCCCAAGCCATTCAGGGGTTGTTGATACACAGTGGGTGTAAGACAGGGAACCTTGGGAGGCTGAGGTGCCTTTCTCCACCTCTCTTGACCTCAAGGGAGCAGGTTAGCAGGGTCAGGCCCAAACAGCAGACAGCCAGGGTCAGGGGGTGATCGTGCCTTAGGTAAAGTGTACCTAAGCCAGGGATTGGGGCAAAGGAGATGAGAGCCAGAGGCCAGCCTGTCTGGAGAGGGGTCTGTGCCGGGGAGGGGGGAGCCCGGGCCTTGGTGGGTAGGCTCTATCCAAGTGGGTGGTCCCTGCCCTGTGCCCGCTGGGTACCTCCCCCGTTGCGATAGCAGAGGTATGGGAAGCGCCAAACATTGCCCAGGCCCACGGCATAGCCCACGCTCGTCAGTACAAACTCGATCTGGTTGCCCCAGTTGCCCCGTTTGAGGTTCTGGTCCCTCTTGGTGGCCTCGCTGGGCACAGCACCATTCTGTGGGGACAGGAGAGAAGCTACCATCAGAAAGGCATTTGTGCTCCCGTGCCTGACCCTCTTGGCCTCTCCCAGCGGGGACACTATGGACCCTCCAAGCCCCCACCCCCACCCTGGGCTTCCCGTCTGCTGGCAGGAGCTGCTGGCAGGCCTGGCAGAGAAGGGGAGGAGGGAGGAGCGGCTGCCAGAGGATTCCAAGCGGGGCCTTGCTCACCAGCCCCCCAGCACCCTGTGCCAGGGGCACCAGCCCACCTGAGCAGCTACTCCCAACATCTGAGAGGTGGGATGTGGAGAGGGAGCTCAAGTCCAGAGCCCCCAGCCCCAGCCCCTCCAAAGCCTCCCCTCTCCCCTCTGGGTGAGGATCTGGGAGCAGCTGAGCCTCATACCAAGCAGCCAAGTCGGGCTGGGCACAAAGGGGCCTGTGTCCAGACAGCCCCCCCCATCCGCCATGACCACATCACCAGGCTAAGCACGCCTGCCCATGGGCAGGCAGTGCGGGGGAGGGGATGCCCGACCCCTTCCCCAGCCGAAGACACTTTCCTAGGGGCACAGGATGGCAGGGCCTGGAGGTGGGAGATGGGAGAGCAACTGAACTGGGCCAGAATCAGGGAGGGTGATCTGGGACTCAGGATGGGAGGACCCAAGGGAGCCACCTATACTGCCATAGCTGGGGTGGGGGGTACCCTGGGGAAGCTGACCTGGGCTGGGTGGTGCTGGCCATGAGCTGGGGGAGGAGACCAGAGTTGTAGGCACCATGCCAGACTTGGAGGACAGACTCTGCTAGGGGAAACAGAGGGAGGGACTCCGGAAAAAGGTCTCTGAGCTGAGGAGCAGGGGGCTGGCCAGGAGGGGCCGATGAGGGGATTCACCCCAAGGAGAGGAAGCCAGGCCTGCCCTGGGGAGCTTCAGGGCTGGGCTGGGTGGCCTGAGGCCCCACTGAGGACAGTCCCTATTGAACCCCAACCCCACAGTTGGAACTGACTCAGCAAGTCCCTTTACAAGTGTAAATATGCCCCTTCCCCATGCCATGGCCCTTCCACCTCCTCCCAGGAAATCAAGCCACCCTGAGCGAGCACCTAAAGGATTGGGGGGCGTCTCACTGGAGACCAGGGACCCTGAGAATCACCAGCAGAGAAGCACAGAGCCCTGGAGTGACAGAGACAGCCTCTCGGAGATGGGCTGTTCCCTTGAGAGAAAGAGACAGGAGTTCCTAGAGGACACCGGGATTGGAGACAGAGCAGCATGGCTCCTGAGAGACGTGGCTGAAGTGACACCAGCCCTCAGCTTGAAAGAGACATAGTCAAGGACAACAGTGACACTGGCCCATAAGCAAAGAGGTCTAGTGCTTTGAAATGCTATCGGATCCTGACACTGACCGACAAATGCAGAGGGGAGGAATGGCTTCTCGGGGACCTGTGTGCTTTCCAGAAAGGCCTATTTGGGGAATGCAGACACAGGGGGCACCAGGGGCCAGTGGGGGCACCAGGGGCCAGCAGAGGCCCCAGCCATGGACCCCTGGCTCCCACGGTGGGCACCCTTCGGCTTGCGTACCCTGACCCCTACAACACAGACACTCTTGTGAGGTGTTGTGGGAGACCATCCTGCTCCCCCAAACTGGTATTGACCCCAGAGGAGATGCTGACCTTCATGCCCTCGAGGGAGGCTCAGGGACGTGGCACCGAGAACCAGGGTCTGGTCCCCTCCGAGGAGTGCCCAGAGCAGGCTGGCAGGCTGGAAGGGCCCACATACGTTCATTCCCGCAACCACCAACCATGGAGACTTACTAACACCCCCTGTGTGCTAGGCCCCGCCCCAGGCACTGGGGACCCAGCAGTGAATTGAACAGACACGGCGGTGCGCTCAGAGCTTAGAATCTGGTGGCGGAGCAAGCCGGTAATGTCAGAAACAAATCCGTGATTTTTATATCACAGCCGTAAGGTGACCACAAAGCGGAAGTTCTCAGGACACAATAATAAGGAAGGAGGCCAGGCGGGGGGCCCTTGGGGTGAGGTCAGGAAAGCTTCCCTGATGAAGGGGCTTGAGGGCCAGTCTGGCTCTGGGAGAGGGTGGCTCACAGTCTGAGGGTGCCCTCAGGGACAGGCCTATACAAAATCGTGCCTAAGGCTGTCACCACCTCCGAGGAGGGCCTTCTTGGGGACAGGCCTAGCAATTCTGCATGGTCCGGGTGGCGGGGGGGGGGCATTTTTTCAGAGGGTGTGAGTCCGGCTGGGGGACAGTTTCTGCATTCCCAAACAAATCCCGGCCAAATAGGGCTCCTATATGTTGACCCTACAATAACAGTTTTATTCTGTCCAAGGCTTGTTTACTTAGGGGCACAATGGGAGACTGTGGCAGCTGCCCAGTACAGGGGTGGGGTCATGAAGCAGCGCTCACAGCTGTAACAGAGACAGCCGAGGGGCCAGGAGTGTTTCATGGGGCAGGGCAAAGCCAGGACTCCTCGCAGAGACCGAGGTCCCCAAGGCTGGAAGGCTGGGGCATCTGTCCTGCTCCCAGCTCCCCCCGACCAAGTTCAGCAGGACCTGACTGGGATTTCTGAGGTCTGCTCCTTCCCTGGCATCGAGGGGGACAGGGAGGGTGTGAGTGCTCCCCAGCCACGTGCCCCAGGCCGCCCTCAGGAGCCAGCGCCACTCAGTTAATGAGCTGCACGCCACTGGGCCCTGCGCTAAGCACTTTAGTTATGCTGACCACAATCCATGCCTCGGGGAAGCAGGGGCCCTGGGACTGGGCCCAGGGGCCGGGAGCCAGGGATGGGGCTCTGGTGGGAGTCCCTGACCACACTAAGGGTCTGCGGGGCAGAAGGAGCTGGGGGTCAGCGATGCTCTGCAAGCCCCGTGAGAAATGCCCCGCAGACGCAGCACCCGCTCAGGCTCCCAGGCCCTGCGGCTCAGCACCATGCACGGGGCAGACTCCCGGAGCTGTGGCTGGGAGGTCACCGTGAGAGCACGGCTAGGCCTCTGACTTCTGTGCTAGAACGAGCTATGTTCAAGGGACTTGGCTGGTGAGGGCTTGGCTCTCTGCAGAGGACATAGCAAGCCCCCTTTCTCCAAGTACGCTAGAGGAAAGGATCTCCAAAATGCATGCCCCGCGGGGCTTCTAAGGGCTCCGGCTTCCTTCTCTGCTCTCCTCTGGGCACTCTCAGCTGCTGCCTTCCTCGGTAAGAGAGGCCCACAGCTGGCAAGACTTTCCTAGTATTTGCCTCGATTTTGTTCTCCTTTCGTCCTTTCCCCTAGCCCAAGCCGCTCATTTTCTTCATCTGCTGGGTAGACACCTGTGTCACTGATCAGACCCGTCCCTGCAGTGGACGTCGGCTCTCGGGCACCCACGATAGAACCCCTTTGTGCTCACAGTTTCACCCAGACTGGCGGCCCGTCTGCCTGACCCAGCTCAGCCCTGCTGACTGGCCAGGCTCCAGGCTTCTCCTGCCCATCACCCATCTTTCACTCTCAGCCCCTCACTGCTCTCCCTTCCTCTCCTGCTCACACCTCGGTGATGAATTAAACCATAGTGGGCTGGTGCTTCCTCCCCAGGCTCCCTAGATAGCCCCCACCCTCACCTGGGACTCCATGACCATGGGCCTGATCGGTGGTCTCCAGGATAGGGACAGCCCTGCCCTGTGCCCAAGCTCCCCACGCGAAGTAGAAGGCAGGCTCTGGGGCTTTCTTTCCATGGTTGAGAGCGGTAGGCTGGCTGATCGTCCTCCACGATGCCCACAATACATAGACAAACGCACGTAAGACCCTCACGTAAGACCACACATGCACAGATGCCCTTCCCCTTAGGAGCAGTCCTTGAGGCAGCAGGGTCCAGTCCCACACAAGGACTTGTCACCTCCCACCCCATGCCTGCCTAGCCAGGTGAGCCATACAGAACAATCACTTACGTAAGTCCTTTACACAGCCCTGTGCCTGTCTTAGTCCCCGCTAGATCAGCTCCTGGAACGAGCGGTGTTCAGCTCCAAGGGCAGAATCCAGATCTCCCCACTGTGCCTTGGGCTTGGCAGGGCAGGACCCTGGGCCAGGAGTGAGAACCCCAGCATTCTAGATCCTGCTACCCCAGCGACTCTGGGCAAGTCATTTCCACTCCCTGCGACTCAGCATCCTTAACTATGAAATCCGTTCACAGACCAGGCCACCTCAACAGATCTACTAGCCTCTGCAGTTCTGCCTTGCCTGGAATTTTCCTATTTCCGACTCTCTTCTGAATCTCCCATTAGTTCCCACTAACTTTCTAAATGATTTTTTTATTGTTATTGTTTTTCTTCTAATTATAAGAGCATTATAAGCTTATCACCAAAAAATGGGAACCCACAGCAAAGAGTGAAGAGGAAACAAAGCCACAGAGTCCCCTCCCAGAGGTAACCACCAACACGAGAGGCACCCCCTCTTTTCTCCATGCACAGACTTGGACAGAGCGCGGATTTCTACCCTGGGCTACGGCTTTCCTCTGGCTCCTGACTCCCGCCCTCCCGGATCAGGGTCCACTGGATATTTTTGTGAATTGTGAGCTCCCCCCTCCTGCTCTCGGTGGACACAGAAGAATCCTGGAGCCGCCTGGCTGGGCGGGCCCCGCTAGGATCCAGCAGGCCTCTGGTTCAGAACTCCACAGCCCCAGGGTTTGCTCATGGGATGAAGTCCCATCCAAGACAAACTTTATGAAGGAGGACAGACAAGACCCCACATCCCAGACTGACCTTGAGCCAAATCCAGATCACTGGCAACTTTCTCTGAGCCCCATCAGGGAATTCAGGCAGGAACGCCATTACAGTAAATTGTGGCCGCCTTAGAAGACCTCACAACGGCCTCATACCCCTAGATTCTTGTTCCCCCAAGTTCTCTCCCCTTGGTCCAGGGGCCAGGCTGGCCCTTACATAGCGCTGCCCTGCAATGACAGAGCCTTCCGTCCTTCATCTGGCCTCGCTGCTCCAGATCCGGGAAAGAGGGACCAGAGGTGGAGGGACAGGACCATGGGAAAATCTGCCT